TAATCAATCTCCTATTTTTGTCTCCATATCAATCACAGAGATAAAAAACTGAAAAAAATGGTAACAAGATTTTTAATTTTCGCTACAATAACAATAATTATTTTGAAGTTACATATATTCGTTATTGTTTAAAATATTAGATAGATTTATTTTTGATGAACCCAAATATATAAATTCCGTATATATTAATATTGTAATGTAGTGAGATATTCTACACGTTGTGAACTTATATTTCCGAAATCTCATATAATAACTAAAAATTATATATATGTATATTAGTATTTACGAGAATCTCGAACACACTCTGCCATTCAATTGTCAATCGTTAGAAAAACAATTTCTCATACTATTAGCAGAAAAACAAAACGATTATGGACCAACCAATGTGCTTGATCAGATATCTTAAACGCAATAAGAGCACATTATGGACCAACCAATGTGCTTGATCACCATTTATGAACATACAAGAAATTGGGAAATCCATAGTAAGTGCCAAACAAAAAATGGACCAACCTTTCGTTCTTATCAAAGATGTTGAAAGTACAAAGAGAGTTATGTTGCAACTTTTGAAAATCTGAAAAGAATTAGAGGAAGAAGATGTTTATGCAACTTGCAACTACAAAGTGGAAAGAAATCTTAGTAAATATGGATCTGCAATTATCAAATACAAAATAATTTTGCATAGAAAAACAAAACTCATAGTCAACCCAACCTATTTCTCTATTTTTCAGTTTTGATTTTTGAAATTTTGCAACATTTTGTGATGTGGAAAATGTCGATGAGTCTTCACTTTTCGATAAGAATAACTTTCGAATATATTCATTTGGTGGAGCAAGGCTGTGGGTTGGTTGTATTAAAAACCAATAATGTTATGTACAAAGAGGTTTTTAATAATGTATGACTTTTTTATGATGAATACTTTAGATTAAGTGACAAATGCTCTACGTATTATACGTTATTGATTAATAACCTTCAATTTATAAATTTTACCAAAACAAATACAGCCCGTGCATCGCACGAGTTATATACTAGTATGTATAATAGTCAACCCTAATTAATGATTTGCTACTTTTATCAAGCATTTAATTAATGCATCTAATATTTTTGGAATGCAAATCAAATTAGCATTTAATTAGTTACTAAAATATTGAGTATGCAATATTAATTTAAGAATATCCATGTAGTTCCTAAAATGTTGGTATGCAATACTTAAAAGAAGATTTTTTATTTATATAAAATATTGCAACGTAAAACTATTCCAGTTATTCTTTATTTTATTTTACATATAAAATCTAATCAATATTTAATGCATCCTACAAAATTGGATGGAAATAAAAAAATACGTAAAATCTTTACTAAAATAAAAAAAAAATGTTTTATTTATTATCTAATTTATTATCTAATTGTATGAAAATCTGTTTTGATTTTATGGTACGTACTACAAATTGTGCACCCGTGTTCAGGAGCTACTTAACGGGCAAGCTCTGTGGAAATAATTTATTAAGTGCTTCTGTCCTGTGCATACAGTATGTATTTGTTTACACATACTAGAAAATTGTGCACCTCGTGCATCGCACGGACTCTGTACTAATAAATGACCTTAAAATTGTGCACCTCGTGCATCACCCGTGTTCACATTTTTGCCTATTAAATGTCACGTACTATATATATCTCGTACATTTTTCTTTATTCATTTATATAATTATAAGACTTGATAAATGACTTTTGTGCACCCCGTGCATCGCACGAGATCTGTACTAGTATATTATAAATAACGGAGTATTTGGTGTACCTGTAGATTTGAACAATTAATTAAGTATGAAAAATTGTAGTTAAGGTTTCATTTTTTTGAGATCACGGATTGGAATATGATGAATATTTAGTATTTATTTCCATATTAATATAGTTGTTAGTTACTTTTTAAATGTATTTAGTTAGTTGGTGATATATAATATATTTGTTAGAGTTTCTCGTAAATAAATATGATGAAATATACACAAGTTGTAATGTAGTTTGTATAGCAATATATATATTTAACTAGGGAGATGCTACATTCCCGTTACAGAATTATTACGTCAGAGTTTGTAATCGTTAGATTATTATGTAACCGTCGAATATAGTTGATCTAACGATTACAAACACCAACGGAATAATTCTGTAACGAGACCGTAATATTTCCCATTTAATTAATCGTTTTGTTTCGAAAGTCTCGAGCGACGAATTAGAACTTATTTGTAATGACTTTGTTTCTTGATCATTAATGATAATGATAAGTTATTTCCAGTAAAAAAAAAGGCAACTCGGACGGATAACGTGGTAAATTTGTGGACCGGGCGGGCCGGGCCATTAAAGATAAACAATTCTATTAAGTATCTCTTACAACATCCACAGGAAAATAGAAGAAGAAAATCATGTTT